GTATTACCAGAGTGATTTCTTTTCGTTTTATTTTATTTCAATTTCTTTTTGAATTTAATTCATAATTTATTTGTTTCATCATCAATTGTAATACTCATATAAACAGCTACATCCTTTTGTAACATTTCAATTTCAAAAATTTGATTAATATATTATTGTTAACTCATTAATAATTTGATTTGTATATTATTTTTACATCATTAATTGTAATATGCAGAATTAGCTAAATATCCTGTAATAAATCACTTGTGTAATGCGCAGTTTATTTAGGGCTATACCATTTTACATTAAAATGTGAGGGAGAGGGGGGGAGGGTGTTGAACATTTAAAAGGATATTGGGGGACATTAAAACAGTGAGTGTAAGTAAGTATGTATTGTTTGAGTTAGGGGTGTTAGAAATAAAAATGTGAAATAATGTAAGGGGAGAAGACACTGTTACACCCATATTGCCATGTTAAATATGTAATCCAAAAACTCTAGGGGATGAGTATATAGGTGAAGTTTGCATGAGTAATAAGAGGGGGAACTGAAAATGCTGAGGGTGTGAGGGGTTACTTTCAGGACTGCGCCTTTTCCACATTTTAAATTGACTAGTCCTAATCTCTGCAACGTTATTGAACTATTTTATTGTTTGAATACTTATAGTACTTGAAATAATCTTGCTAGGATATTGCTAACACATGATTTACATAAAGTGGCACAACCTAACAGCTTTTCTATTGCTGGAATCAAGATTTAAACATCTTTAAGATCTTGTTTAAGGTTGAGCCACTTTAAATAATGGTCTAATTTTGGAAGCAGGGTCTGGGTAACATACCATTCTTGATTGCATACTTACATTATGGATGAGGTCGTTGTACTTAGTAAAGCAAAATATCTAATTTTCTTAGTGTGGTGGCTTTTTAATCAATTATCTGTTGCTTGAAATACATTTTTCTTTTTGACGTTTTAATTGAGAGAGAATTAGTTAATATGTAATTAAATCGAGAAATTGTTTTCTATCCTGCCAATGAAATGCATAAGTTGATATTATTTGATGTTTCCCTTAAATCTGTTATTTGTGAATTGGACAAAGCAAAAATGTCTTGTGTTGTGTTTTTAATAATATTATTCATATTTTTGTAAATAGAGAGAGTGTGTTCTATCCTACCAGTGAAATGAATTTTGCATGAAAAAAAGTGTAAGAAATGTATATTAGTTTGTGTTTCTCTCTAGATCTATTCTTTGTGAATTGGACAAAGCAAGAATGCTTTGTACATGTATTGTGTGTTATTTGTATATTATTCATATTTTAGTGAAATGGACGTCTTGTTTTCATCTTACCACTGAAATTAACATGTTATTAAAAATCCTATTATACAGAGTGTACCACTATGGCTGATGTTGTCTTCATACTGGATACCTCTGGTAGCATAGAAGAAGATGAGTTCTACAGGGTGAAGAAGTTTGTACAGAATGTTGTATGGAACCTCCAACTATCACCTGACCAGACCAGAGTTGGCGTGATCACATTCAGCTCTCAGGCGCATGTCAAGTTCCACTTGGACAGATATAAGGTGAGTTGTTATAGTTGTAATGAGGATTAGAATGAAAAAATATATAAAAAACTTCTGGATATTGTCAGATCAGAATGTGTGTGTAAGTATATCAGATTCTGGTTGTTCACATGTTATTTCATTGGATACAAACAAGGTGATGTTGAAGCTTTTAACAATGGGGATGTGTAGAATATGTCATAATCATTGAAATCATGGTATTTCCATGCCAGGATAATGTAACAAAAAGTTCATTCCCGTAATTTTCTACACATTTTCTGAAATAAGTGTATTTTAAATGTGTAATCTTGTCCACATACCCCACATAGAGATATCAAGCAATCATTTAAAAAGGATCAAGAGTGCTTGTTATGTGTCATTTGAAAAAGATAGCTAGATGTGTATTGCATTATTAATCAAATAAAGTTTAATAGCCTATACATAATATCAGTTGTTCATAGTTCAAATTGACATTCTGTATGAAATATACTGATTTTGCTCACTAGTGCGTGATGCCGTCATAATAATTTTCATATTTCATATTTTATACAACCCATGTAATTTCTTTAACCTGGACGTAGTTCTAGTCCACAGTCAGTTCCATTTACACAACGGGAAACACTATTTTGTAAGCACTACTAAGAAAGAATACTTTATGTGTTATTCATAAGTGATAAGCACTACTAACTACTAATTCTCGGGAATAAAAAGTTCACACTAATCATACCCATTAAGAGATAGATAGAGCTTATCCTCGGACCAGTTACGTCTTATCCGTGTGTCATATGACTACTGTGTTAATTAACTAAGTAAAGTATTCCAATTAAAAAGTGTTGTATGTTTGCATGCAGCAAGCATTTAATAATTTTTCACATATATAATATTGTCCATAAAAGAGTCTGATAATTACAAGTAACTCATGTTTATTTTAAAACTATTCTTTACGAATTTATGCATGATAAGTGTATAATCTTCAATCATACAAATGCGCAGTCAGTGATTGTTCTCCACACTCACCCCTCCCCCTTCCTGACATGAACTATTTTGTAAAACCATTACACTCGAATGTCAAGGTGGGGGGAGGGCAGTTATAAAGATATACAAGGCGATGGTTCAAATTGGACAATTTTCAAAACTGCTCAACATGATGAAAACTTCACGTTTTTAAAGAATGCGTGCCTGGCGAGTGGTTTGCTCTGGAATCCCCTCCCGATCGGGTCGCGTTTTATATATCTCTGATGTAATAAGGACAATAATGCCTATTACAACATTTTGTCAATTAATGGCATTAGGCCGGGGCATCAACACACATTTGATTGAAATAATTCAAATCAAAGTTTCAAATGAATAAAGAACATGAAGGTTATGTTTGGCATTCGAGAACAAAAATGTGCCGAGTCAAAAATAGATTTCTAATATTTTATTTTGAGTATTTGTATTTATTGATCCTTGTTTTTCAATCTACAGATGGTTCACTGAATTCCGAAGTAAACAAAAAAAATCCTATACACGTTTCCTTGGTTCTCATGATACTGCCTATGCATTTATCAAAATAAATATTAATTAATCCGTCTGCATTTGTTCCCTGACACAGAGACAGAGACATAAAAAACATATATAATATATTTTATATGTCTCTGCTCAAACTAAGCCAACCCCGATTTCAGTATTTAATTCTTCGCTTGAAACATCCAACATCAAACTTGAAACTAGCCAACATCGCAACCCCCCCCCCCCCCCCCCCCCCTGGCTACGCCTATGGATATTTTGGCAACTTTCGCGTTTACCCCGCCCCCTAATCATTTTTACGCCCCCTCTAAATATCAGACCCGTCAGGCGTTGAGGCGTGGATCAGGATGCCCTGACTCCCAAGCTGTGCGACTTCTGGTAACCGCTACACCTATATTCCCGGGGAAAGCGCTTTGTCAAATATGGTCGTGTGTGGGCAACCACGGAGGAGGAGGAGGAGGAGAGGGGTGCTTCTCCCGAATAGTTATGCTAGAGGGGTTCTAATATCTATTTCTGTTTTCAAATGAAATAATTTCACCCTTGCCCGACTGGCTTGTAGATAATGCACGAATCATATAGCATGGAGATCAGATAATCAGATTGATTCGTATTTTTGCAATCAGATGAATTAACTTATTGTTTTCTCTGATTGAAAGGCGGTTTGAAGCTACTTTTACAGGATTAGTAAATTCGCAATCAGACTGGCTTATTTTAATATTTAGTCAGAGCAAGAGGAGGGGACTATAATGTAAAAAATCGTTTTGATTTCGACTGAAATAATTTATCACAATTGTTAAATACGCAAACAGAGACCAGTTTAAAAAAGAGAATGAGGCAAAAAACTCTATTCATAAAATGTAACTAAAACCCGGGAATTAAAAGCAATTTGAGACTGTTAGATGATCTCTTCTGTAATCAAGGTGATGTTGGTACACTTCCGCTGTTAGAAAAACAAAGACTAAAAACAAAAACTTTATAACAATTAATCCTTTTGTAATCATTAAATGTTAGATGCTTATTATTTTGTTGGACAATGTTCAGACTTCTGACCAAGATTTATGCATTTATGTTTGTATTTAAAAAATAGTATTTCAATCAGACAGACGTTCTAATGAGTTAGAAAAATACATTTGTCCATTTCCTCTCAAGAAGTTTTCAAAAGTAATCCAGTCCATTTGTTTATTTTAGTATTGTTTTTTCATAACTTGACACTTCCATGACCGGAATGACTTTGAAATGAGTTTTTATAATTTTAGCTTTTATACGGACATGCATATTGTATATTTCCATATGAACGTTGTAGTTATGTGATGTTACATCGCCCCCCCCCCCAAATTACAGGTATACAACTTTTAGTCGGAATGCTTTAACTTGCAATTAAAAGCAATTTTAGAGTGTTAGATGATCTCTTATGTAATCTAGGTGATGTTGGTACACTTCCGCAGTTAAGAAAACAAAGACTAAGACAAAGAGAACTATATAGCAATCCTGGTGTATAGAATCATGTGAACAACATTATCGTGGAAATTCCCATATTCATTCTCATAATGTCTTACAGCTATTTCGCAAAAGACATAAGCCTAAACAACATGTGGACATAATATTGCAGAATGCAGATTAAGATATTTCATTTTTGAAATGCACAAAGGGAAGCAGTTGAAGAAAAAAAGTTAAAGGCGTTGTGAAATAGATCGTGCCTTTATATGATCTCCTTCTATAGTGTCCTACTCTTTGCATTCGTTCGACTTCACTTCTTAAAAGAGAGTTTCGTCTTCTCGTAGTTTATAACTAGACTCTGCACGCAGTGTAATAGTGCCCCTATTATCCATGTTCAGGGGCGTAGTCAACTTTCAGTGGGGGGGGGGGCGATCGCCAAAAAAACAATATCGGTTTTCAGTCGGGGGGGGGGGGGGGGGGTGCGATCGTGTCAAAAGCAAGCCAAAAGATGCAACTTCCTTCAAAATTGAGCTAGAAGCTTCTATCTCTTCTTCTATTCCATGGTACTATTTTATTGGTTATGCACCGCACCCCTCCCCCCTGGCTACGCCAATGCCATTTGAGAGATAAAAAGAGAAGAGAAAAGACTGTTAAAACAAGTACTTCCAATAAATACTTTTACAGTTAATGTGTTTATCAAGGACAACGACCCTACTTGTCAAATTAATAGAAACGAACAATAAATACTTTCATTACGGGAAAACCGGAGAAATTCAATCATGTATCTACCTGATTCGCTGGAATAGTCATTAGTCACATTATTTCAGAGCAAACAATTAGCATCTGCTATAATTTCTATTTTTCTATCCGATATACAACTGATATTGATATCTTTCCCCGGACAATGTGTTATCTCATGGTCCGTTGACATCATCAACAATGTGATTTACCACAAGAGATTAACCAACATTCCTTAATTAAAAAGTTGACATTTCTTGACTTTTTAAAGCAAAAACACTATGACACAATAACATCGAGGCAAAATTAAAACATGGTGTGGAAATAAAAGGCTTACAAAATGGCCATTAAAAGGACATTCTTGTTCATAAAAATATCAACTTTACTACATTGGACGCAAATACAAAGTATAGAATAAATAAAAATAATGTCTTCCCAGAGATTACAATACGGAACTTAGCCCATGTCTGCAATTGTTTGTCTGCTGGTCAGAACTTGGTATCCGCTTCGGATAATCAATTTCTGAGAATACTGATGTCTTAGATAATTCCAAAAGACGACGTTGTCTTTAAATAAGAATCTTTAATCTACAAACTAAATAAATATCGTAAACCCGGGATCGTAAACAACACCTTGCTGTCCTCTGTTAAATCACGAAACCTGTTTCCCTTAATTTTTTTACTAGGAGACTATAATTTATTTTCTACTATTATTTTTCTTTAAATAGTAAATGTCGTCTAAGTTTGTTTTAATGATTAGTCTTCTTCTAGATTCATTAATCATCACGATATTTATATATACATATTATGTAATAGACCTATCATATCACGCCCGTAGTTACAAAGTCAACTGCATATTAATGCAATAGAATAAGACTCAATAATTAAAAAAATAAACCTCAGTATTCGGGCCTAAAAACTAGTGGTGTAGATAAGTACTCACGTAGTCATCGAATCGTCTCGCCAAGGTGTTATAGAATTCAGCTCGATTAGGAGTTCAGATTTCGCGAATTATTACACGAGTCTGAGACTCACGAATTTGTATTCGTATTCGCGATTTCACAGCGAATCCTGACGTCAAATGCATTGTTTTTTCTTACAAACAGGGTGAAACTATGTACAAATGATTGTTCCGTGTATCATTTGTTTTTATTTGAATGAATATGAGTAATAAATCTAATTTAAATGAAATATTTTTGAGTCTATTTTTTAATTCCATGATTAATTCAGTCCGTAGAACCGGAAATGAAAGTGCTGCAACAATGTGTGGCGGGAAACATAAAATAAACAATATTTCAATTTTTGTCGTAATTAATCGTAAGTAGCTATGTTATTTAAATCGGTAGATATGGACAACTCTTGATATACCTAGCGTACCTAGGGTATTGTGCAAGTGAACAACATTGAAAAAAGGACTAAAAAACGACCATATGACATGCAATGGTAAGATTTTTTCTTGTTTATTTTTTTGATGAAAAATCGCGATTCTTATTCGATCTCAGACTCAAAATCACGCGAATTACTCGATTCCAAAAATCCCAGCGAGTTACAACACTACTAAAAACCACAGATAAGTGTATCAATACCAAAGGGTAAGCTCAAATAACCTTCCAAATAAGTGTATCAATAATTAGAGGTTATGTCACTATCGTGGCATATATGCCCGACCTTGGGAGGGACATTGATCTCTGAGAACCGAGGGAATATGTGCCACGATAGTGACATAAACGATTTATAACATACCTATGATGATGTAGACTGGTCAGAGAGTACCGTTTTCTTATAGAATTGACAAACAAATGGTTTGAAAATGATTGAAATGAGTTTAGAAAAATTGCTCGCGCAGTTTTATCTTCGATTGATTGGTTATGACGTCAGCGCCTTGACAAATCAGAAAGTTAGCGGGCGCGGGCTTTTCAAAACTTATATTGGCCCGCTGTCTCGTGTACACTTTGCACTATACATCATCATAGGTATGTTATAATCAAGGATTGCGACTACTAACCACCGAGTAAGATGTGTGTAACATTGGTATTGCTAGTTATTAAACACGATTTTGTCTTGTGTTAGCCACTATATTATTCAAGATTAACATAAAGTACAATAACATAGAATTTTTTTAATTACTACATTTTCTCATGTCAGAAGCTATGATCAGTGATGTAGATATCATGATTTTCTAACTTTTATTTTATATTTCTGTAACATATTTTCCCAAATCTAACTACTTTGGTACATCATATGTTAATTTAGCCACATTTTGAATTAAGTGGCAAAAGCTTTCTCCGAAGAGAAAAATACAAAATGAATACATTGAAACATGTGCATACTTATACTTCTATGACCGGGCATTCTTTATGTTAAATGTACACAATAGTGTGAGGTTTTAGTTTCTATCTTTTATTTATTTCACTTGTTTACACATGGCATATAGTATATTCTTCAAAACCAGACATCACATGATCACTTCAAATCTGTTATGTAAAAAGTTTAACAATGGGAAGACTGCTTCAAATCCTAATTAGAATCCAAGATATAGAAATGTAAATTAAATGTAAATTAAAGAAACATTTGTAAGTCTGAAGATGCTCTGAACAATTGTAATGATTGCATATTTAATGTGAGAAACTGACCAGAGATATCCCAGGTGTACTACATGACCTGTTGTTTATCTAAATGCTTTTTGTATCATGTTTCCATTAATTAATTTACAAAGTAAAAACAAAGTAAAAGTATAAGATATTAATTATAAAATACAACATGAAAATCACTCCGTCACACTTCATTGCACTTACATATTGCTCATATAACATCCTATAATTATTATAAATGATTTTAAGATAAATAGATTTATACCACAATTTTATTAATTAAGTCAGATGAAACTTCAATCGTATTTTAACATTTCTCATTGGAACTCAGCATTTGGACCTGTACATTTTATCATCCTCTAAACCTGGTACATGCAACAGGCTCAAGTTTACTAGTCAGTTAACTCATGCTATTTGACCTATCCTATTATATATTTCAAGGTAGAAACACACTGTCATTTGAAGAATCCAAATCTTTGGTATGGGCATACGTAACAGTGATCTTTGGCAACACAATTATCTGAACATGTGCAACCTTATCCTCTGTATTATTAATTCTCTTTTCAATATGATACATTGATTTTTTAATCTGGTCATTAAACACATTTTTTTTATCAAGCTCCTTTGGCTGCTTTAACATTTTATTGTCATCAATACCTTTGATGACATGAGTTGGGGATATCTTGCGTGGGGTTTCTACATTTTCCTTGTTATTTTGATCATGGGCATCACTACTACATGTACTATTGTTGTTTTCATCTTTTGAAGGGGTTCTCAGTCCTTGTGGGAGGTTTTCAATGAGATTTTCCTGAGCTATTTGAAAATCACTAGATGGTGGTCCAACTTTTGTGTTCCTGGTCGCAATATGATACATCAACATCATTATATGGTCACAGTATCTTTTAAATCCACTCTGGGACTTATTTTTATCTCCTTCCCCAGAGTTCATTTTAGTTTTCTTTCTAAACTTGCTTGGGGCCACACATTGTCTACATTTTTCCGTAAGAAAACATGTAAATGGGCATACAACAAATAGAATAAACAGCATAAAGAGTCCATAGTACTGTTGTATGACATCAAATATGATCTTCGCTATATCGGGGGCAATATTGGCTGTAGTATTATAGGCATTGTGTTGATCCATAGTGGACGCTGAAATAAAAACGGGTAAAAAATAAAAAATAATAACACATTTGTGAAACACATACTTTATGGGGCCATATCTAGGTTAAGACAGGAGACTAGGTAAATGGTAAGGGGAGGAGATTAGGTAAATGGCAATGGGGAGGATATTAAGTAAATGGCAAGGGGAGGAAACTGGGTAAATGGAAATGGGGAGGAGACTAGGTAAATGGCAAGGGGGATGAGACTAGGTAAATGGCAAGGGGAGGAAACTAGGTAAATGGTAAGGGGAGGAGATTAGGTAAATGGCAATGGGGGAGGAGATTAGGTAAATGGCAATGAGGAGGAGATTAAGTAAATGGCAATGGGGAGGAGATTAAGTAAATGGCAAGGGGAGGAAACTAGGTAAATGGAAATGGGGAGGAGATTAGGTAAATGGCAATTGGGGAGGAGATTAGGTAAATGGCAATGGGGGAGGAGATTAGGTAAATGGCAATGAGGAGGAGATTAAGTAAATGGCAAGGGGAGGAAACTAGGTAAATGGAAATGGGGAGGAGATTAGGTAAATGGCAATGGGGAGGAGATTAGGTAAATGGCAATGGGGAGGAGATTAGGTAAATGGCAATGGGGAGGAGATTAAGTAAATGGCAAGGGGAGGAAACTAGGTAAATGGAAATGGGGAGGAGACTAGGTAAATGGCAAGGGGGAGGAGCCTAGGTAAATGGCAAGGGGAGGAAACTAGATGAATGGCAATGGGGAGGAGACTAGAAGGCAGTTGGTATTTGGCATCTGTAACAAATGGCAGGTTGTGACATTTTGCATGTAATGCCTTGTTTTTCAATGATACTGAATCCCCTTGACAAATTCATGAACTCTTTAAAATTCAGATAAATCTTGGCTTCTTGAGATTTTTCCATTTTATAATATCTGAAATTGAATGCTAGTGGTACTGTCTTGCTGCCATGCAGTTACACACAAACAACAAGCCCGTAGCCAACTTTTGCCGAGGGGGTTCACTTTTTTCGCTCAAACCCATCCCCCTGGCTACTAGCCTGATCAAGTTACAGTTTATGGTTCACATATGTTTATTTTAAACTTTAAAATGCCAATTTTACTTACCGTTTGTCCCTTTTCATGAATTAAATTGAGTCAGTGTACGTGTAAAACTCTTCTCATTCAAACCACACACTTCCATCAATGTCATATGGACAGTCCAGGAAAACATTTGTAATTGACCTCATTGACTTCATTCATAGATTCAAATCATGTTTTTGAATGTAAGTTCATTAGTTCATACTGTTAAAAAACTCAACTCATAATGTTCTGTTAACATGCCCAAGATTTGTACATGCAACAGTAATTGGCTCTAGTTGGTGAAAAATTTGTTATCTTGTTAAGTCAAGGTTGAGAATAAGCATGTTATTTGTACTCATGTTCTTAAAATTAGCCCATACCCTATATAGTTAATTTAACAATTGCACGACATAGTCAATCTGATACCCCTTACGTGAATCTGTCTCTTCACTTTTTAAGTTTTATCATTTCAAGTTGTAAACATTTATTCTTGAGGATTTCTTGCTTTAGGGCTTCTATCCTGAGGATGAATATTTGAAATCTATAATATTTGCATTTCAATTCTTATTTCTATAATGTTCTTAAAATTTTATTTGGAGTAAATTTAAAATGTAGTAAAAGTAATGGTAATTCATTCAATTTGAATCCTTTTGAGGTCCTAGATATCTACAAACAACTTAATCAATCAACCTATTAATCAATCAACTAAGACTTTATCAGAAATTATGTTTTTCTTTCAAAATTTATTTTTATAATTTTAAATCATTGCTGATTTTCCTAGAATATAAACCTCACTAGTTTGTTGCATGAACTAGGTCATCTTGACCTCATATATATGAATATTTTTATAATGCATCAAAATGAAATGTTGAACATTATTTCAAAACTTCAATTCTAGTTATTATAGAAAATCAAAATCCCAAAACATGAACAATCAAACTAGAAATAACATTTCAGTACAATGCAGTCCAAGATATGATTGACAGCTCTATTATTAGAATTGAAATCACTAGGGCAGAGCATTTGTACTGAAAGGAGCGTTTTCAGTACAAATATGTACTGAAAAATGTACTGAATTTTTAAGTATATTTTTCAGTATAAATATGTACTGAAAAATATACTTAAAATTTCAGTGCAAATTTCAGTATAAATATGTACTGAAAAATGTACTGAAATTTTAAGTACATTTTTCAGTATATATTTATACTGAAAAATATACTGAATTTTCAGTGTGATTTTAAGTGCAAATATGTACTTAAAAATATACTGAAATTTAAGTGTGATTTTAAGTGCAAATATGTACTGAAAAATATACTGAAATTTAAGGGCATATTTAAGTGTAAATTTATACTGAAAAATATACTTAGATTTTGAATTACGACATCTTCCTGACTTTCACATCTATACCATGGATTTTGCTATACTCGAACAAATGAGGTTCTATGTTCATGTTATATATTTTAATTTTGATATCAATTAATTAATTTGCTCGAGCAATATGAGTGAAAATCTCATGAAAAACTTATTTTTAAGACTGAGAAAATGTGTACCTTTAATGTTTTTGAATTTTAGAACTTAATAAGGTAGAATGTATCTAGAAACCTCAAAAGGTATGGAATACACATGTTATGTATGATCAGTTTTAAATAAAGGGTTTATCCCTCAGGAAATATGGGTATCCAAAACCTCCCAGTACATAACCCTTATTTATGCATTATATTTGATAGGTTTGATCGGGCTAAAAAGAAATTTATTGATGGAGAAAATGCAATCAGATATTATTACAGGATGCGTCTTAAATAATTAAATCCAAAAACATAACTTATTAAAAGGAAAACACTTGATTACAGTAAACCTAGCCTCTCCAGTTTGATTAGAGTCTGCTTTAAAGGATGTGTCTAAAGAAACTTTATTAATCCATTAACAAAACAAAATATTTTGACAAGGCAAAACAAACCTGATTACAGAGAGACTCTTTTAAGTTTGGTTAAAGTCTGCTGTAAAGGAAGCATCCAAAATAATTTCATAATGTAATAGCATTCCTGGGGGGGGGGGGGTTCAGGGGTCCAAGCGGCCAAAAATTCTTTTAAAATCATGCACTTTTTCACCAATCTAAGAACTTTTTGAGTGATTTAGGCCGTTTTTAATAAATCCATAAACATAACTTCTAAAAAGGAAATCACTTGATTACAGTAAACCTAGCCTCTCCAGTTTGATTAGAGTCTGCTTTAAACGATGTGTCTATTAATCCACTAACAAAACAAAATATTTTGACAAGGCAAAACAAACCTGATTACAGAGAGACTCTTTTAAGTTTGGTTAATGGCTGCTGTAAAGGAAGCATCCAAAATAATTTCATAATGTAATAGCATTCCTGTTGGGGGTTTTCAGGGGTCCAAGCGAACCCCCCCCCCCTGGCCAAAAATTCTTTTAAAATCATGCACTTTTTCACCATTCTAAGAACTTTTTGAGTGATTTAGAGTTTATAAAGTAAAGTTAAATTTCAGTATATTTTTCAGTACATTTTTATACTGACTTTTGCACTTAAATTTCAGTACATTTTTCAGTATATATTTGTACTTAAATTTATCCTTAAATTTTCAGTGCATTTTTCAGTATATTTTTGCACTTAAATTTGTCCTTAAAATTCAGTACATTTTTCAGTACATATTTATACTTAAATTTGTACTTAAAATTCAGTATATTTTTCAGTACATGAATTTGTACTGAAAAATATACTGAAAAAAATTCAGTGCATTTTTCAGTACAAAAATATACTTCAATTTGTACTGAAACAAAACTAGTACATTTTTCAGTACATATTTGTACTGAAAACGCTCCTTTCAGTACAAATGCTCTGCCCTAGTGAATTGATGGCCTTTGCAAGAATTACAAGGTCAGGCTGATCTGGTCACTCTGGAAGACAATTTTAAAAACACATTTTGTTTGAAATTGGTCAATTCTATGCTCATGTTTCTCTGTTAAAACACATTTATAGAAAAACCGACCTTTCAAACTATTCTTAGCTATCCAATATCAGTTTGTTTGTGAGGTTTTGATCATAATTATTGTAATCAAAAAAAGTTTTTTGTGGCATTTTTTAAAACTATTTTGTTTAAGAATTTCTGTGGCAATAACATGATTTACAGTAACATGTACATGGGGATCATTTGAGGGGGAATTAGTGTGATTAGATATTAAATTAAATGGAAAAGCTGGATGAATTTTAGAGCTGCATTTTAAACCACACAATAATTTTGGTAAGACCATGGGCAATACATGGGATTCTGAGTTTGGTTTGCTCTTAAAGGCCCCATATAAAGTTTAAACCACTTTGGCTTATATTGTAGTCTTACCCAATGTTATCAAAGTGTGATATGTGAAACTTTTTAAATTTCAAAAAGTGGTTTTTGATCAACTTTTTGTTCCAAAATTTGTGGATTTATTTAAAACCAACTTTTAGAGGTCACTTATATCTTCTAATTAGCCACAATTCATACCAATGTATAGCATTCATCCTCCCATGTTTTTTGCCGAAAAAATTAAGAAAATCTGTTCATAAATAAGCGAGAAATGAACTTATCAGTGCATGAAAATGGTTCTGAGAAAAATGCATTTCAAAATTTTAGTTCTCATAGAAACCAATGGTACAATGATATCTAAAACATAATTTATTCTTCCTTTTAACCTGGTTAGACAATCAACATTGGTTTTTTATGAAAGTCTAACATATTTAGGAAAGATTGACATCGAAAAAAAAATTTCAATTTAAAAAAAGAAGTTTTTGGTACCTTAGTGACATCACTAATGTTTCAAAATATTTTTGATATGCTAAAACATTGAAGTGGCCCATTAAATGTGGCATTTTATTATTGAAATAGCGTGTCCTTTGTTCAATCTTTGCATTGGTGTTAAAAAGATAATCTTTTTTGAAATGCATTAAGAAATATTTGATGATTAAGACATTTCAAATTTTTTTGAAAAATGGCGGGAAATTTGAATATTTGAGAAATGAAATGCCCACAACTTTTTTTCAAAATTTTTTTTTGTTCAAAAATCTCTGAAATCACTTTTTAAGTCCTGACAAATAGTAAATGAATGATAAAAAAATATTTTCAAACTGTAGACTGGGACTTTAACATTGAATTTAGATGAATATTTGCACCTGCTTCATTAGCTATGGCCATGCATTCACTGTTTATTTAAGAGATCTCCAAATATTTGAGTGATAGTGCCAAGTATAGTGTAATGTAAAAGACAAAGTATCAAAAATCTCAAGCAAAAAATGATTTCAATAGGGTACAAGGTATTTTTCGAATTCTCATCAGGTGTGGTATGGGTGAAGTGTTTTGATGCATGAAAACTGGAAAGTAGAAATAAAAAGTTTATAGTATCCTTAGTTTTTGTTGTGGTAGAGAATATTTTAATTAGGAGGCCCTAACGGGGGGCCTCCTATTAATTTTATAGATATTATTATTCTTTATTTATTTATTCTTCCTAAACCTTTTTCTCCTACTTCCAACTACCTTTCAACTATCTACTATATGCACCTACTAGGGACCTTGGCTGAACTTGGCGGGAAAGGAATTTTTATCTAGGTCAAGGTCAAAGGTCAAAATCTAGGTCAAATCTAAGTTTTTTTCAAGTTTCTCAAATCCTGACACTACACTTCAATATTTTTGGCTGAATTTTTGCACACAGATAGATATTAGTATTCTATTAGTCTTAGCCTTTTGCCGTCTAGAGAAATTTTGCCTAGATTTTGAGATATTGAAGGTCAAAAAAAGGTCAAAAAAGGTCTTTTTTCAACTTGCTTCAAATTGACCAAAGTTTTTTTTAAAACTCATCTACAAGTTCTCAGGATTCCAAATCTGACCTTACTTTTGACCTTTGACCTTTGGTTGACCTTCAGTGACCTCCGAAAGGTCAAAAAAGTTGATTTTTCAAATCGATTTTCTGGATTCAAATTTAGGTATATTTATTCACAAAAAATCTTCTGAGGTCTAAAAAAGTAAAATTTGCAAGGTCAAAGGTCAAGGTCATCAAACGAAATCACAAACTGTGTTTTCTAAGTTTCTCAAAATTGGAGACTACAAATCAATTTTTTTTACTGAAAGTCAGAATATATATTCCTCTAAAGGTTCTACACATATTAGCAATTGACTATTTATTAAAATTTTGCTCCAGTTTTGAGATATTAGAACTCAAAAACTGAAAAAAGG